AATGTGTTGAGTTTTCCCCTTTGCAAATATCATCAGCTTTGGATTTGTCATTCATATTCACAAAAGTAAGAAATAAAATAGCACGTAGAGCAATGGAAAGCAGGAAGCAGTCAAGGAGGCAGGGAAAACGCAAATGAGAGTAGAAATGGAGGAAGAAAAAAGCACCAGCTTCAGCCACCCTAAGGAAAGAAACAGAAGGAAGAAGCTTGCTCAGGCCACTGTCCTGTACCTGGTCCGTGCACCAGTACCAGAGGGATGGGATGGACATTCCAAATAGGACCCCTGGCCATGGCAGATCAGATGTCAGCGGATCTCGGAAAATATGGAAGGCATCTTCTCGGGGCAGCCCGCAGCTGCTGTTCTCGCTCCGGTTGCTAGCCAGGGCCAAGAAGTACTTCTCCTTCAGGCCTTCCATCCCACCAACCGCAGCAAAACCTAGAATTCAGGGGAAGCCTGTTTGCCAGGGGAACTCAGCTAGGTCCGTGGCAAGTGACGAGGAGATGGCTGGAGATTAGTGAAATTCTAGTAAGAGCAGAGCCACCACCAAAAAATGTTGATCCCCTTAAGGGTTCTTAACCTCCCCACCCCCCACTTTTTTTAACTTAAAAAATAATAATAGAGTTTTATTGGACTATAACTGACCTAGCCATAAATTGCAAATATTTAAAGTATAAAATTTGATAAGTTTGACATCAGTATTCACCCATGAAACCTCTGCCACAAAGTAATGAATGTATCTCTTCAAGTTTCCTTTCTTTTTTCTTTTTCTTTTGAGACGGAGTCTTGCTCTGTCGCCCAGGCTGGAGTGCAGTGGTGTGATCTTGGCTCACTGCCACCTCTGCCTCCCAGGTTCAAGTGATTCTCCTGCCTCAGCCTCCCAGGTAGCAGAGATTAAAGGCATGTGCCACCAAGCCTGGTTAATTTTTGTATTTTTAGTAGAGATGGGGTTTCACCATATTGGCCAGGCTGGTCTCAAACTCCTGACCTCAAGAGATTCTCCTGGCCATTGTCCCAGGCCATTGTATGTTCTTTAAGCCCATTGACTTCCCCCCAAAATAATTTACTACCTCCTAAAATCATCTATACTTGCCCTAAGAAGGGTGTCAATTATTTGTAACCTGAAACTCCTGGGCTTAAGCAATCCTCCTGGCTCAGCCTCCAGAGTAGTTAGGACTACAGGCATGCACCACCACATCCAGTGACTTTCTAAAGTTTTTGTAGAGACAGATCTCGCATGTTGTCCAGGTTGGTCGTGAACTCCTAGGCTCAAGCAATTCTCCTGCCTCGACCTCCCAAAGTGCTGGGATTATAGGCATGAGCCACCTTTTTTGATTCTTTTCAGAGAAATAGATATTGGGTGGGGCGAGATTGCTCATGCCTGTAATCCCAGCAATTTGGGAGGCCGAGGCAGGCAAATCACCTGAGGTCAGGAATTCAAGACCAGCCTGGTCCACATGGGGAAACCCTGTCTTTAGTAAAAATACAAAAATTAACCACATATGGTGGTGTGTGCCTGTAATCCCAGCTACTCGAGAGGCTGAGGCAGGAGAATCACTTGAACCCGGGAGGCAGAGGTTGCAGTGAGCCAAGATCATGCCACTGCACTCCAGCCTGGATGACAGGGCGAGATTCCATCTCAAAAAATAGGCTGGGAGCGGTGGCTCATGCCTGTAATTCCAGCATTTTGGGAGGCTGAGGCAGGTAGATTGCTTGAGCCCAGGAGTTTGAAACCAGCCTGGCAACATGGTGAAACCCCATCTCTTAAAAAAAATTGTAAAAATTAGCTGGATGTGGTGGTGCACACCTGTGGGCCCAGCTACTTGGAGGTTTGAGCTCAGCAGGCAGAGGTTGCAGTGAGCCAAGATTGTCACTGCACCCCAGTCTGGGCGGCAGAGTGAGACCCTATGTCAAAGCAAACAAACAAAACCTTCTGTAAGTAAGAGCTGTCTCTTCATCTTCTTTTATTTATTTATTCAATTATTTTTCCATATCAGTATAGAAATAGATTAATTTTTACTTAAACAAAAAACAGTTCTAGGTAGGGTGGCTTTGGGAGGCTGAAGCAGGAGGATCACTTGAGGCCAGGAGTTTGAGATCAGCCTGGGCAACACAGTGAGACTCCATCGCTACAAAAAACCAAAATAATAAAACAATTAGCTGGACATAGTGGCTTATACCTGTAGTCCCAGCTACTCAGGAGGTTGAAGTGGGAGAGATATTTGAGCCCAGGAGCTCAAGGCTGCAGTGAGTTGTGATCACACCACTGCCCTCCAGCCTGAGTGACAGAGCAAGACCCTGTCTCAAAACAAAAAACAAAAACAGTACATTTCCACAGTAAGCACAGTTCTCTTCTAGCCAAAATAACTGTGGTTCAAGCAAAGCACCCATGACAAAAATCCCCCAGTAGTATGCTCTTTGACAGCTGGGTTTGCCTCTCACAGTGATGAGAGTAGATATCCCTGCTTCAGAGAGGTGCTATTGTCCACCCAAGTGACCCTGGGACCCCACTTACTGTAGCCCATCAAGGTGAGTGCTCCTACAAGCATGATTAGCGTCTGCAGAGCATCTGTGTAGATCACGGCAGCCAGGCCACCTGGTGGGATGAGTGCAGAGGTGAGGCTCAGGAAGTCTGAAGAGAAGGGGTTACTCTGGGTCACCAAGGGAGCCTGGAAGGCCAGGACCTGACGGGAGATTTTGTGGTGCTGACTGATTGCAAAGATGGCCATGATCACTCCTCCCTGTGTGCATGCCCATTTTGCAATGTGACTTTGCCGCTCCTTTCATGATGAGGAAAATTGATTTCTCTACTTCTCAAAGGGGCTTGGCCATGTGACTTGCTTTGACCAATAGAATATGGGGGAAGTGATATTGTGCATCTCCAAGCCTGGGCCTCAAGGGTCCCTGCAGCTTCTGTACTTACTCTCCTGTTGCCCTGAGACCATTTGCTTTAAGAAACCTGGTCTAGGCTGGGCATGGCGGCTCACACTGCTGTAATCCCAGCACTTTGGGAGGCTGAGGTGGGCAGATCACGAGGTCAAGAGATGGAGACCATCCTGGCCAACATGGTAAAACTCCGTCTCTACTAAAAAACAGAATCAGCCAGGCATAGTGGCGCATGCCTGTAATCCCAGCTACTCGGGAGGCTGAGGCAGGAGAATTGCTTGAACCTGGGAGGTGGACATTGCAGTGAGCCGAGTTTGCGCCACTGCACTCCAGCTTGGCAACAGAGTGAGACTCTGTTTCAAAAACAAACAAACAAACAAACAAAGAAAAGAATCCTGGTCTAACCTAAAGGAGGAAGAGGGCCCCCACGGAGGGGAAGCCCAGTCCACAGCCCAAGCTAACACCAGCTATGTGAGTGAGGCCATCCTGTTCCAGCCAGCTGCTCCACCTGCCAGCTGCTCCACCTGCCACCTGCTCCACCTGCCACTGAACTATAATTCACAGAGCCAGGTGAGACCAGCAGACATCCACCCAGGCAGCCCATGGACTTTAGGGGAATAAAAAAACATTGGTTTCTCAAGCCCCTCAATTTGTGCGTGGTTTTATAACACAGCAGTTTTCAACTAATATAGGAAGCGGTGCTTGGGCCACCGTCCCCAAGCTCTGAACGCCTTTATTTATTTATTTATTAGAACCAGGGTCTCACTCTGTTAACCCAGACTGGAGTGCAGTGGTGTGATCATAGCTTGCTGTAGCCTAGACTTCCTGGGCCCAAGTGATTCTCCCATCTCAGTCCCCCAAATGACTGGGACTGTAGGCATGGCCACCACGCGCAGCTAATTTTTAAATTTTTTCTAGAGATGGAATTTTGCCATGTTGCCCAGGGTGGTCTCGAACTCCTGGCTTCAAGTAGTCCTCCTGCCTCAGCCTGCCAAGGTGCTGGGATTACAGGTGTGAGCAACTATACTCAGCCAACACCTTTAAGACTGAAAAAAAGGTTGTGAGTATTAGGTATTCAGAGGCCCCATAGACTTCCTGAAGAGGGTCGTGGTGGTGCCTCAGAGGACTCTTGTTGAGTTTGCCACCTGCAAAAATCTTTGAAATGGGTGGGGCAAAGTGGCTCATGCCTGTAATCCCAGCACTTTGGGAAGCTGAGGCAGGGGTTTGAGACTAGCCTGGCCAACATGGTGAAACCCTGTCTCTACAAAAAATACAAAAATTAGCCAGGTGTGGTGGGGCATGCCTGTAATCCCAGCTACTGGGAAGGCTGAGACAGGTGAATCGCTTAAACCTGGGAGGTGGAGGTTGCAGTGAGCTGAGATTGCACCACTGCACTCCAGCCTGGACAACAGAGCAAGACTTTGTCTCAAAAAAAAAATCTTTGTAATGATGATACTGGTAGCAAATCCATCAGCATCTGGATAGAGCAATCTTTCCAGTCTCTTCCTTATACCTCCATTCTTCCTCTTTCCCTGAGAAGGGACACTTATCTGATAGGAATATGTCTACTGGAGGGCACAGTCACTGTGCAATTAAAAAAACCCAGTGCCCCGAGGTCAAGAGATCGAGACCCTTTTGGCCAACATAGTGAAACCCTGTCACTACTAAAAATACAAAAATTAGCTGGGCGTTGTGGGGCGCGCCTGTAGTCCCAGCTACTTGGGAGTCTGAGGCAGGAGAATCGCTTGAATTTGAGAGGCAGAGGTTGCAGTGAGCCTAGATCACGCCACTGCACACACTCCAGCCTGGCAATAGAGCGAGGCTCCGTTTCAAAAAAAAGAAAAAGAAAAACCATGCCCATGGGTGACATGTTCTCCAGGATCCTTCCTTCCTTGCCAGCAGGAACAGGACTCTCTCACAAAGGGGAGGAGACCTGGCGTTGATTCTGGCCCCGTTCCCTGCTGTTCACTCACGCTGTGAGTCAGCCTGAGTGTGGCGAGGTCCTGGTGTTGGGTACCATTTAACCCCACCATCCTTTCTAAATTAATAGTGATGAGGATCTCCCACATGCCAGGCACTGTGGGGAGCATTTCATTCAGTCATTCACAAAATAGCTGGTGAGCTCCTCACCAAGTTCTACATGGTAGAGATGCAGAGGCCAACAAAACGGCATGTTCCTTGCCCTCATAGAGCCCACAGCCTAATGGGGGACACAGACCTCCAGACGAGGAACACCAACATTCATCAGCTATGGCAGCCTGCCCTCCCCTTTCCCCCTGTCCCAGGCACATGGCTTCTGCTGGTTCTGAGAACTCATCCAAGGTCTTTCTTCATCAGGGGACTTTACATATGTTAGATTTCCTCAATTTTCTGTTTAGAGCATCCAATAGTGTTCCATGGCACTTAAAACAAACGCTAGGCTCAGTTTATTTCCTTCAGAGCTCTGGTTTCTGCCCTTTCTCCAATCCCACTCTTAGCACCAGGGTTGCTGCTACGGTGCCGGGGTTGCCATTTTCACTCTGCTTGGTGTGAGTGGCACCTCTGGAGTGGAATAAGACACAACCTGCATAACCACTTGCTCGAGCAGGCTCTCATCTCAGAGTCCTTACTGCAGCCCTGCCCTCAGCCTGGAATTCTCCTCCCCTGCATTGCCCGTGGGTGTTATTAAAACCTGGTTGAACTGGTCGAGGTGGCTCACACCTATAATCCCAGCACTTTGGGAGGCCAAGATGGGTGGATCACCAGGACAGCAGTTCAAGATCAGCCTGGCCAACATGGTGAAACTCCGTCTCTGCTAAAAACACAAAAAATTAGCCGTGCATGGTGGCAGGCGCCTGTAATCCCATCTACTCGAGAGGCTGAGGCAGGAGAATTGCCTGAACCTGGGAGGCGGAGGTTGCAGTGAGTCAAGATCA